TGGGATACCATTGAATGTGGTTTGATACTGGGTACAGGTGGATGGCTGGTATACCATTGGATGTGGTTTGGTACTGGGTACAGGTGGATGGGTAGGATACAATTAGATATGGTTTGGTAATGGGATACAGGTAGGTGGGATATCATTGGATGTGGTTTGGTACTGGGTACATTAGGATACAATTGGATATGGTTTGGTAATGGGTACAGGTAGGTGGATATCATTGGATGTGGTTTGGTACTGGCTACAGGTGGGTGGGTAGAATACAATTAGATATGGTTTGGTAATGGGATACAGGTAGGTGGGATACCATTGAATGTGGTTTGGTAATGGGTACAGGTGGGTGGGTAAGATACAATTGGATGTGGTTTGGTAATGGGATACAAGTGGGTTGAATACCATTGGACGTGATTTGGTAGTGGGTATAGCTCTACAGGATACTATTGGGTATGGTCGGGTAATGGGTACAGGTGGTTTGGATACTAATTGGATGTTTTTGGTAGAGAGTAAAGTTAGGTAAGATACCATTTGGATGTGGTTTGGTAGTGGGTATTGCCTGATAGGAACTATAGGGCGTAATGGGTAATGGTAGGTGGGATACTACTGAGAGGGATACAATTATATGTGGTTTGGTAGTGGGTATAGCTGTACAGGATACTATTGGGTGTGATTTGGTAATGGTACTGGTGGGCGAGATACAATTGGATGTGGTTTGGTAATAGGTACTGGTGGGCGAGATACAATTGGATGTGGTTTGGTAATGGGTACAGGTGGGCGAGATACAATTGGATGTGGTTTGGTAATGGTTACAGGTGGGTGGGGATACTATTGGATGCTTTTGGTAATGGGTACAAGTGGGTGGGATACAATTGGATGTTCCAATAACGGACATTAAAAATAATACAACCAAGAATGTAATTGTTTTACTTTTCAGGCTAATTAAGAATTATGTCTATACCTGCTATTGTTTCTTTAGAGCTGCTATAAGCTCCTCTTTCATACTGTCCTCTGGCTAGTGTAGGAACACATGTACCATACGGCGTCTGAGTTGGGGACATCCGACTTCCTGCCCCATACATCGGATGGTGATGTGGTGGTTCGAGAGGAGTACCACGAGATATTGAACCTGATTCAGAATGGGAGATCGGAGTACCTACAAAAACACAATCAGAAGTGAATCAATATATTATCAGTATTCATAACATCATAATTGTATAACGAAGATCACAACTGATCCTTACCTCTAGTTATAGATCCTGCACCAGGTCCACCATCAAAAGTTACTGGTTGACCACGTGTAATAGAACTTTCATGTGGTGGGAGTGACCGATGATCATACCCTAGTCCTCGGGTCATAGCATGGCTCTCATACACATGGTGTGAACTTTTTGGTGCATCATAGTTTCCTGAATTTAGGAGAAAAATAAATACAGCATAATGAGACTTTACTCACAGTATTTCTTAAATCACTTCTACCAGGATCAGAGTTGGTATGCCTGAATCAAACACTGATATTAGCATTACTCTTGTAACTTGCCAACGTAGTAGCAATCTGATTAAAATCTGATGTAGTGTACGGGCTGTAATTATTTTGGCTATAAACTTGTTTTAATTTTATTTTGTATTACTTTTGTTATTAACGCCCTTTTATTTTATTATTTTACTTTGATTTTGATTTTTTTTAATTCCGCCCTACCTACATCTGATCCGACGCCTATGTAAGTCCCGTTCAAATCTCGCGTAGGTAAC